AGCAGGACGAGGAGCAGGAGGAGCAGGAGAAGAAGGACGAGCAGGAGGAGGAGGAGGACGAGCAGGAGGAGGAGGACGACCAGGAGGAGGAGGACGACCAGGAAGGAGGAGGAGGAGGAGGAGGAGGAGGAGGGGAGGGGGAGGAGTACCAGAGGAGGAGGAGGAGGAGGAGGAGGAGGAGGAGGAGGAGGAGGAGGAGGAGGAGGAGGAGGAGGAAGGAGGAGAGAGAAGAGGGCAGGAGGAGGGAGGAGGAGGAAGGAGGAGGGGAGGGGGAGACTACCTAGGAGGAGGAGGAGGAGGAGGGAGGAGGAGGAGGACGAGGAGGAGGAGGAGGAGGAGGACGAGGAGGAGGAGGGGGGGGGAGAGCACCAGGAGGAGGAGAACGAGGACCACCAGGAGGAGGAGGAGGAGGAGGAGGAGGAGGAGGAGGCATTTTTGAATGCCCGTAGCCAACTGTAGGCAACTTCGTGCTTTTCGACTTCCCAAAACTCCCATTCCTGGGCTACATTTTCAGCAGGGGCAAGAGCACGACGAGGAGGAGGACGAGCAAGACCAGGAGGACGAGGACGAGCAGGAGCAGGACGAGGAGCAGGAGGAGCAGGAGAAGAAGGACGAGCAGGAGGAGGAGGAGGACGAGCAGGAGGAGGAGGACGACCAGGAGGAGGAGGACGACCAGGAAGAGGAGGAGGAGGAGGAGGAGGGAGGATACGCAGGAGGGGAGGAGTGAGGAGGAGGAGGAGGAGCGGAGGAGGAGGAGGCAGGAGGAGAGGAAGAGAGGAGGAGGAGGGAGGAGAGGACGAGGCTGAGGAGGAGGAGGAGGAGGAGGAGGAGGAAGGAGGGAGGAGGGTCGGGGGAGGACTACCAGAGGAAGCTGGGAGGAAGGAGGAGGAGGAGCAGGAGGAGGAAGAGGAGGAGGAGGACGAGGAGGAGGAGGAGGAGGAGGACGAGGAGGAGGAGGGGGGGGGAGAGCACCAGGAGGAGGAGAACGAGGACCACCAGGAGGAGGAGGAGGAGGAGGAGGAGGAGGAGGAGGAGGAGGAGGAGAGAGCACCAGGGGGAGGAGGACGAGCAAGACGAGGAGGACGAGAACGAGGACGAGCAGGAGGAAGAGGAGGAGGAGGAGGAGGAGGAGGAGGAGGAGGAGGAGGAGGAGGTGGAGGTGGAGGTGGAGGAGGAGGAGGAGGAGAGCGAGCGAGCCGCAGGAGAGGCGTCCGAGTGACGAACACCAACCGCGTGTGAGACCTGAGAGCCACAGGGGTGGCGGAAGGCGGAAGCCTGGGAGAGGGTGGGGCGCCTCAGGAAAACCACACCCAAGAAAACCTCCCAGGCCCAAGTCCAAAAGAAAACACTAGGGGGCAGGGTTCGGGCCAGAACGCGCCGCTCCTGCCCCACGCTGGCGGGGCTCCAGGCCACGGGCAATACGGTCGATCGCCGTGAGCTGGTTCGCCCTAGTCTTTGGATTCTCCGAGAAACCTTGGCACTGCGCCCGCAGCTTGCGGGCGGACCTGAAGGACTCGGACCCGTTGAAATTGCCCCCGCACTTGCGGCAGCAATACACGGAATTAACACAGAAAACGTCATGCCCCAATTCAGCGAATTCGGCAAGCACAGGTTGGGGAACGTCGGCCGAGCCACTGGCAGCAGACACCTGCTCCAGCGGCTGGGGAGGGACCGCGGGGAACCCCGAGGAGGCCTCCAAAGGCCGAGGCGTGGACCCCAACATCCTATCGGCCGCCTCGATGGCCGCCGCTACCCTAGAATCCGAAACACTCAGCCACGCCTCAGAACTCCGCAGAAAGAAGTCCTCGGCAAGGCTCTGGACGAGAGGCGAGGGAGCACATACCCGATCAGCTCCCGAACGAAGAGTCTGGAGGGTACTCGCACTCCGAGCGACACGATTGCACCGTCGACATCGATACTCAGACGTCCTCTGGCAGAATAGCAACTCGTGGTCCTGGGGCCTCTCGAAAACCACACGCTTGGGCACCTGGGCGAGCTCTGGGTCGTGCACCACGACAGGGTCAGCTCCCCACTTCCGAAACTGCACAACCTGGAAGGCCGCCCACGACACATAGTGCAGGACCTGCTTGTGCTGCTTCAGCCCAGCTGCCAAACTGTCAGCCAGTGTCTTTGACACCATGTGCGCAGCACTGCCACACTTCGCGGAGAAGTCGGCCCAGGCATTGCCGACGTAGGCCTCCAGCTCGTCTGGCGTGGCCGACCCGATGACGTCCTCCAGCTTCCTGTGAGCTGGAGTCCACTGAAACCGCACTGGTGGCAGACGTGGATCGCGTGCTCTGGCAGCCGAAAAAAATATCTCTCCAGACTCGGGCGTGCTTCGCTTTGCCAAACTCGAGCCTCTGGTCCCAGGACGCACCCTCCTCCACGAGCGATTTCAGATCCGAAATGAAAACCTCATGCCCAGGATGCCTCTGAAGTCCCATCTTGATGGCATAGCGCTCAGCACGTCCTACTGTCTGCACATAGTAGGGCAAGGGCCCATATACAGCCCTGGCGGGGAGCCACGTGACGGGGTCCAGCTGGCAGACCGACCACCCACACCTACGTACTTCAGGAATGCTGGCCGAGAACCCCGAGCCGTCAGTATATGACGTAGGCCCCCAAGAGCCCGAGACATCTCCCCATTCAAAAACCTCATTGGAGACCGTGGTGTAGTGCGGTACTGCAACAGGCTCTGGAACCCCATAGATCAGGTATCTCTGGTCCCAGTCGGCGCACCCCAGCATCTGACCAGACGCCTGAAGCATGCCACGAACCTCCTGAAGCTGTTCTGGAAACTCATAATACTCCTGGTCGGGGTCCCCTTCGAGGAGCGGCGGGCAGTCGTAAAAGATATGACCCCAACAGGAGTCGATAGCCTTGCCGCAGGCCTGACATGGCCTAATGGGCCTCCCGTGCTTCATGTCCCGACGCGGTGGGATGGGAAGGTTGTCAGCCCACAAAGCCTGCAGCGCTCCGAGGCGCCTGTGACACTTTATCTTGGCGAGCGCGTGGCGCAGCGCACGATGCCACACGTCCGCCTGCTCGGTGTAAAAATGCCGCTGCAACCTATGGTGCTGCCAGCGCTGAATGCCTTGATGCAGGAACACTCGTAGGTCTGCTGGACATATACGAAATAAATCAAAACTGTTTCCCAAATCGTCGGCCAGGATGTGCTCTGACGACATGGTCCAGGATATGCGCCTCAAAGTAAGCCAGGTGGCCCCAAGGGGCCCACGCGCCTTGGCCCAGGAAGGTGAACTCTCAAACTTAGCACCCAGACGTACCCAAGCCTCCCGAAGTCTGCTAGGTTGCACTCGCCCGTCCCAGATCCAGGAGGCGTATTTGAGCACAATGTCCGTGGTGGCGTTATATATGGGGTCATAACATTCGTCCCGATGAGATATGAGATACGCTGTTACCCCAACCATCGTCTTACCTGGAGCACCATTTAGGACTGCAGCACAATGTCGCAACTCACGAAGAGCGCTGTCGCTAACTCCAGCAACTGCACCGCCATGCGCCACTGAAGGAAGGGCGCCCGTGCGCCACAAGCTGGTAGCACTCCGCCCCACGGCGGACTTCAACATGCGAAAACGATGCTTGCGCTCTCGAAACTGCACCAACCTACGCTTCTCCATATGCCGAAGAACTCGAGGTCCTGTGAGCTCGTGTCCCAGATTCCTCATGTGGGCCCTGTACGGGATCTTCAAGGTTCCCAGGTGCCTCTTGAGCTGTCCCCAAACCTTTTGGTTCCCAGGGATACATCCAGACTTCGGCGGCTTCAGGACCATCCCAAGATCTCCTGCATCCGACGTGAACGCCTTGGCCGCTCGGGCCAGGTTGGACACTTCCCTCAATACGGGCGACACGTACTGCAGACCCACATCGTCCATGAGCGTGCGTGGCGTGATAGAGGGTGCAATACTGGCCGTGCGCTGGACCGCACGGTACGTGAGGAGGTATAGAAGGTACGTGGCGTGCGTGCAGCCCGCAAGAATACCCTGATGGGCCACCAAGGGCCTAGATACAGATCCAAAGCACTTGATCCTTCTCGGCTGACGGTAGGAGCCCAGGAGCAACCACAGGAGCCCCAGCGGGTACCCGAGCTCTCTAGCTTCTCGGAGAAGTGCACTGTGACTGACCATATCGAAGCACTTGGTCCTGTCCAAGAGAATGGTGCATGTGTGCTCACCTAAAAGTTCTCCTATCTCCTGGCCCAGGTTGTGGTCGAAGGCTGAATCGGTCGAAGTCTGCCCAGCCCTTGACCCCCACATATGCTCGCACTTATGCGCCTCCTGCCACTCCGCCGAAAGCGGCCGACGTAGCTTTCCCCACAACCTGACGAAGGTATTGCTGAGGACGATCAACCTAGTGTCCCCGTCAGGCTTGGGCAGGCGAACAAGCTCGCTGTAGAGCCTGTCCGTGGGCCAGGCCAGCCAACTCTCAAACAGCATGAACATATCGGCCAGGCTCTGCAAGGCCTGGTCGGACAACACATCGAGCGTGCGTGGCGCGATCCTCGTCTGGCCCGAGGCCGTCTTCAACGGGAAACTCCTGATGGCTCCACGCACCTGCGATGCAGACAAAGGCGGAAGCAAAGGCCACTGAGCGTGATCGGCAGGCAGCGACAGAGAACATGCACCGTGGTAGGTCCAAACGTCCTTCCACTTGTCGAGCGTGCGGTCAGCCATCTGGTATGGCTGAGCGTCGTGGGAGTAGGCAAGCACCTCCTGTCGAGCCCGAACTTTGGAGGACGAATGTGCCCGAGATGCTCCTCCCAGGAAGGCTTCTTTGGCCCACTGCCTCCAGGCCCTCTCTGACGCTCTTTGTGCCGTTCTCAAATGTTGATCAGCTCTGGCAACGATGGCCTTGGCTACGTCCTCAAAGTCAGACTCGACCAGGCCAGTCAGCCCTCGCCGAAAGAAGCCTGCGAAGGCAGCATCCAAGACAAACAGCACATGCTCTGAGCGAGCCGCGCGTCTATAAAAGGCATCCACCTCGTTGAAAGCCACTACGACCTTAGTGTACTGCAGCGGCGTGATGTCACACACGGCAGCACAGAGCTTGAGGCGCTCGATGTACCTCGCCAGCCGCTTCTTCTCCGCCACAAGGTGCTGGGCCCATCGCTTCGCCGTGGCCCAGGCCAGCACGTCGGCTCCTTGTAGGTACGCCTGCGTGGCGGCTGCCATGACAAGTGCTGCCACTTGAACTGCGGGGGCCCCTCGCGTCCAATGTACTGCATGGCCTTAGCACCCACGCAGTCGCAACGCCCTGCCAGCTCGTAGTCCACCCCTCGCAGCACGGAGTCCCAGAGCAGGCTCAGATCGTCGGCACAGCTGACCCGTTGGAACTCTGCCTGGAGCCAGTGCCACGGGTAGGGATATCTAGCACAGCCAACTGGCGGCACCACCGCGAAGGGGCGCGGCTCCGCAGGGACACGGCACCACGTGGGGCGATCCTCTCCCATGAGCTGCAGCTCAACAGGGAAATGCGGCGGCGGCACGGCCGTGGAGTCATACTGGACCTCTGGCTTGCCCTTGATGCGAGACGCTAGATTGGCACAGACGACGAAATAGTCTATGGTGCTCTTGCCCTCGTCGGTGATGCAAGTGTGCTGGTCGGGCACGTAGTGGACGGCTGCCATGGTCTCGACCCAGTTGCGAACATTGAGCGCATCGATGTCGGAGTTCCAGTCGCCACCCAGGATCCAGTCGAGGCCCCGTGAGTTCCATGCTGCCACTCTCTGTGCCAGGGCCCACAGCACCTCAATGTTCTCGCCCGATATGCCAATGGACGTGACAAGATACACACTGGCGACTATGATGCCGCCTGCCACTCCCCAGTTAATCTGTGCACAGACTGCTCGTCCTGGGTAGATAATGTGCCCGTCATCAGGTGGGGCTGTGACCATGATGTATGTCGGCACAAGTACAGCGACGCCTCCGAAGTTGGACGTGGCTGAGTCACCCGTGGAGGGCGACGGGGCCCATAGCCCGTGCCATCCAGCATCCAAGGCCCTGGCCTGAAACTCGCCAAGCCTGGAGTCGCTAATCCTCAATTCTTGTGCCAGCAAGATAGTTCCTCGATAGGTAGCCAAAAAGTCAAAGAGAGGACCGTAGCTCGTAGCATTCACCGTTGTGATGAGGCCCTTGAGCTGCGGCTGAGATACTGCATGCGTTGGCTGCACCTTCGCCTCCGTGCTCCCTGGCGGCAAAGGCGAGGTAGGTGCAGCGCGTTCTTGACTTGATTTCTCGAAGCGTAATCGGGAAGAAGGTGGGGACGAAGATGGCGCTTCATGAAATGCGCCTTCACACAGATCCGCTTCCATGTCAGGCTCAACGTCCCCAAAGAAGTCATGATCGTCATCCAAGGTAGTGCACACTGGGCCGCTCTGGCCCGGTGGGGCCCCTGGCAGTCGGTACTCTCTGCCGCCTGGATTCTCCGAGGGCAAGGGCGGTGAGCGGTGCGTGCCGTCCGAAGACGGTCGGTGCCCTCTGCCGCCAATCCCCGAAGGTGAGGTCGGTGAGCAGTGCGTGCTGCCAGGGGCCAACCGCGTAGGCGTAGACGGAGTAGCCCTCTGTGATGCCGTGGTCGCCCCAGACGGAGCTGCAGGCTCAACTGAAGTAAGTGAGGCCGCCGTCAGGGTCAGAGCTGTCCCCCACCCCGAGGAGCGGGCCAGTGGGGGGAGTAATGTAGGCGCCGTAGTGCCAGCCGAGGTCATGGAACTAGACGCCGATGTGGGCAGGGGGGTGTGACTACGAGGGGCTGAATCCCTCCCCCCCCTGCCCAGAATGCTAGCCGCCGTCGAAGAAGACTGAGGCGGACTCTCGACATGTTGCGCTGATGTAGAGCTGACCATGGTGACAAAGAGCCAAAGCAACAGCATATCAAGCCGAGCACCTTCACGCCGAAGTCTTGGCCTTCTTGGCCACAGTGTCCAAGTAGCTCTGCTGAAGGCGCTTGAACTTCTCACGCGCCATGTCAGGGGTGTCGCTCTCCTCGACTTGGACCCCTGCTGCACCCAGCGTCTCACGGTACTCCTGCTCGGACATCTCGATGTCAGGTGGCTCAGCGCAAGACTCATCTCCATCCTCATCTTCATGGGCAGGTGCAGGTTCAGGCGGCTTGGCCTGCGGCATATTCTGCAGCTTGCTGACCGTGTTGGCCATAGCTTGCAGCTCCTTGACCATGTCGGCGCCGAGACCGAGGCCCGATGCAACCTTGCCCAGCTGCTCCACGCTGACCGCGAAGGTGGGCAGCAAGTCCGCCAACGTCGGTGGCTGGGTGCCCTCGGGCGGCTGGACTCGCGACATGGCGGCGCGAGTCTGCTGCTCCAGGCGGAGGACCTCGGCAGCCGCCTCCTGCAACTTGGAGTCAGTGTCGACCAGGCCGCGGGTGAGCTCGTCGATCTTCCTCTGCTGCTCGTTGCGAGTGGCCTGGATGGTAGCCTGTCGCGCACGAGCGGAGGACAGCCTTGACGCCAATGACCTGGCCTGATGCTCTCGGGGCCTATCCTGAAAGAGCTCAGCATCCAACCTAGCTCGCTCCTCACGCCATTGGGCCACAATACCAGCATCAGTAGGGTCAGTAGTGACCCGAAGCAACTGATCCAGCATCTTGATACGGCTCCTCTTGACGGTGTCAGCATCCCCAGGCGCGGCAGCCCAAGGTGGGCTCGCACCTGTGCCCGTAGCCGCTGGCCCTTGCCCAGGGGGATGCTCGCGGAGCTTGGCGAGCTGCGCCTCGAGCTCCTTGACTTTGGCCGCGAGCGACTGCTGCTTGGCCGAGACGCTGGGCAGCGACGCTGCTTTGTTCTCCTTGAAACAGTTGCTCTTGTGCAGGCCGCACTTCTTGCAGCACACCAGGGTGGAGGCGTTGAACCACGGCTGATTCGTGACGTCATGCCTGCACCACTTGCAATACCATGGCGAAGCATTCTCCTTGCGCGTCGGGGCCATGGCGGCGTCGGCGTCGCAGGGACAAGCGGCGAGAGCCACGGCCCTGAGGGCTGCCTGGCCGTGGCGGCAAAACTGATGAGGGAGCCCAACCCCTCGGTGAAGGCGAAAAGCTGTCGAGCGCAAGCGCTCTGGCACTGCCGCGGACTAGCGGTATCCGAGAATGCCAATACGGGCTCAGCCCGCAAAAGCATGAGCCTTGAGCCAAAATGGCTACGGAGAGGAGGAGGAGGAGGAGGAGGAGGAGGAGGAGGAGGAGGAGGAGGAGGAGGAGGAGGAGGAGGAGGAGGAGGAGGAGAGACCACCAGGAGGAGGAGGAGAGAGGAGAGGAAGGAGGACGAGCAGGAGGAAGGAAGAACACCACGAGGAGGAGAGGCAAGACGAGGAGGACGAGAACGAGGGCGACCAGGAAGAACCAGGAGAGGAGGAGAGGAGGGAGGAGGAAGGGGAGGGGGAGGACTACCAGGAGGAGGAGGAGGAGGAGGAGGAAGAGGAGGAGGAGGACGGAGGAGGAGGAGGAGAGGAGGAGGAAGAGGAGGAGGAGGACGAGGAAGGAGGAGAGGAGGACGAGGAGGAGGAGGGGGGGGAGAGCACCAGGAGGAGGAGAACGAGGACCAACCAGGAGGAGGAGGAGGAGGAGGAGGAGGAGGAGGAGGAGGAGGAGGAGGAGGAGGAGAGTGAGCACCAGGAGGAGGAGGACGAGCAAGACGAGGACGACGAGAACGAGGACGAGCAAGAGGAAGAGGAGGAGGAGGAGGAGGAGGAGGAGCAGGAGAAAGAGGAGGAGGAGGAGGAGGAGGAGGAGGAGGAGCAGGAAAAAGAAGACGATCAGGAGGGGGACGAGGACGAGCAGGAGGAGGAGGAGGAGGACGAACAGGAGGGGAGGGCGGCCGGCTGCCCCGAGTCGTGCGCACAAGGGCTCTGAGGAAGGCTCCCTAAGCTCGAGACGCTTTGAATACTCTGTAGTTTCCTCGCAGCTTCCTTTCCATGCCTTTGTAGCTTCCACGCACTCCTGCGTCGCCGAGTTTCTTCTTGCAGCGTCCTTGTCGTGTCGCGGGGTGCGTTTGCGTCACTTCGGTGTTGCTGCGCCTTGAGACGTGTCTCTGCTGCTTCTTCGTCCCATCGGGGAGTCCAGCGTCACCGAATTTGTTCCCGTATTGTGCTTGTCGTTCCAGGTCGTGCGTACGCGCGCAGAATGTTTCTCTGCAGCGTCCTCGTCGCATCAGGATCTCCAGCGTCGCAGAATGCATCCTTGTAGCGCCTCTTCTTCCAGGGCGGCGTGGTCCTGAGTCGCCGCGGACGACTCGCCGCGGACGGTTCCATTCGATTCCACGGGCGATCGTGCGCATGTAGTTTGCCACGCGCCTGCGCGCGCGGAGAGGGCCTGGGCGCCCTGTCGCCCGCGGGCGACCGCGCGGGTTAGTCCCCGCAAAAGCCAAAGAGGGCATTTCCACACGCCGGGTAAAGCCTAAAAGGGCTTTCGTCTGCCTGATCCTCCCCCCCTCTTTCCTTCTCTTCTTTCATCGAAGTCAGAACCCCCGCCCCCTATGACGTCCTCCGCTGGCCTGGGTGGTCTACTCAGGTCGCGGAGGGGGATAGGGGGGGGGTCGTTGCCACGGCTGGTGCCTCGTTTTCACGACGGGGAGGGGGGGGTGCACCGTTCCCTCGGATGGGCACATCCCCCCCTCCAAGGGCCTCCGAGCCCTCCCTCTCCGTCCTTTTCTTCTCCCTTATCCTTCCCTCCCTAGCGGTTTTCGAAGCCTTTGGCGTCTCCGCCCACCAGAGCGGGGATCTCGAACCCCCAATGGGATTCGTGGAGCGGGGGGGGCCTTGAGAGGCCGAAACATTTCTTGGGGCGGGGCCACGCAGCACACACATCACATCCATCGAGTCACGCACACATACAGCAACACGCTTTCTCGACTCCACAGGGGGGGTGCTTCGTGGAGGCATCACTTGTAACTTTGCAATTCTGTAATCATTGCCGTTCTGGTTCAAAGAACTTTGATTGCAGGAGTTCGAGGCAAAAGCGAGCCTTGTCCGCATCCGCTCAACCAGTCTCACCGTGCCGTGCACGGTGCTTCTCAGCCTGTGTCACTGTGCGCTCCACGGTGATCCTCCGGGTGAGCTACCATGGCTGCTGCTGCAGAACAGCCGACGTCTCCACTGGGTTTTCTCACGAAGAGCAGCGCCAAACCCCAAGACTTCCTTGTCCGAGTATACAAGCCCAGGGAGATCAAGTACTCGTACAAGAGCAGGAACAATGGCCAGCTAGTCCATGCAAACCGATTCACATGCATTCTGCTTGGCACAGACTCAGAGCACTATTGTGAGGCCATCCTCAAAGGAACTCCAGCAGAAGTCCAAGCTGCTCTGAAAAAGTTCCCTCCGATGACGGCGTGGAAACTCTCCAGCGTCGGCCTGGACAGTCGGCAGCAGGACGCTTTTGTGCATACGTCTGTTCGTGTCGTGGTCGACCTCAAGCGCACAACCTGCACTCCAGTGCTCAAAAGCTCTCCGGAGGAGACCTCCTTGGCATCGGCGCCGGCTCCAGCGACTACAGTGGCAGACATGATGAACATCAAATCGCAGCGTTGCTTCGATGTCATGGCTGTGGTTCATTCTGTTTCAGAAACCCGCACTCCCGCTGGCCACCCTCCAGTGGCAAGTGTACATCTGGTCGACGGCACACAGACGAGTAACTCCAAGACAGCGGAGGCTGTGATTGCAGTCTGGGGATCCACCAACATAGAGCTTTGTCGCTCTCACAAAGGACAACCGCTGCTGTTTCTCAACGTGGCGGGCAAATTCGACGGCAAACTGGAGCTGAACTTGTCGCAAGATCGCGTGGTGGATTCCGCATGCTCTTGTCCCAGAATGACTCAACTACACGACTTAGCAGCCACTCAAGACTTCGCGATGGACCGGGAGCAGCTGACCACCGCTCATGCGGGTACTTGGGATCCAGACCAGGCTTCGCAGATTCTCACCGGAGAAGCACTCCTCTCCTGCTGTGCCTTTTTGGCTATGGCGTCGGATGATCCGAATGCAAACTTGCCACTCTTGTTGCAGGTCAATGGGATGAGGCTTGAGGAACCGGAGCCAGCCGACTCTGTGGTGGAGAACACAGGCGAGCGCGTGTTCTTTACGACTACTGCTCGTGATTTCAGTGGCTCGTGCAAAGTCGGCGTATCACAAGCGGCAGCCTTCGCCTTGACTGGCATTGATAGCATGCAAGAATTCAAAAAGTTCACGACGAGAAAGCTATCTCCTTCCCTCCACTGAGCAATTGTCGCATCATACGACGCGTGCGCAATGTGGCTGCGAATGCACAGGATGACACACCTCAACGGACTTTCGTCAACACGACTGTGGTGGCCGTTTCACCGCTTCAGATATCGCACGCCCCGAATACGCTTACAATGTCGTCTTGGAGATCCTGAAGCAGTGCCGCGAGAGCCAGGATGCAATGCTCGCGGCACAGCTCTCTGAGATACGGTCTTGTCCCTTCTACGGCATGCGCGTGCAGTACTCACCAGCGGGTGGAGGGGGTGACGCTTCTCAACTTACCCGGAACTGCCACTTGGCAGTCGTTCTCGTTCGTACCACGCAGAAGTCTCGGTGCGTATCCACTGCGGCTGGCTTCGTCGTGTCCACACCAGGTGTCACGGACGCTTCCGACGGAGAGTCTTCCCAACCAGTGACGATTCACGGACACTGCTCAGTTGACAACTTGCTCTCGTTCAAAATGGATCCGCCCAACCGAGCGAAGCACAGAGTCTGCTTGTTGCTCATTACTGGCTGTTCAAAAGACGGCATGACGGTGCACAGTGTGACCCACATTGACGACTCCGTCGTGTCTGAGGCGCAGTACTTCATTAAAAAATTGAGAACACTGGGGATGCGCACAGAGCTTCAGCAATCAGGCGAGCATAAGCGGATGAATGAGTGGAGCACGACGCCGGAATCCGCCAAGAAGTGCCGCATTCTTGAAAGCCACCCCTCAGGAGAAAGCTTGAGGTGAGCTTTCTCCTGTCTTGTCAGCGATGCTTCTCAGCTTGCTGGACATGGCAAGCATCTTTGTCTTGCGCCTTGCGGGATGCCAACTAGGTTTGCCTCAAACATATCGTTTGGTAGTTTCGTTGTTTATGCGGTGCTTCTCAGCCTGCACTATTTACTGTTGTGGCGTCTGGTGCACGAATAGTGTTTGCGGCCTGCATTCCTCCTCAGCCTGCCCTGGCTCCCTTGAGAGTGCCTGCACAGAGTTTCGGTCTGTGCTCACGTTGCCCGCGGTGCTTCTCAGCCTGCACTTCCTTTGCTACAAGCGCCTGTTCTGCAGTCGTTCACAGTGTCTCGTTTACAGAGAATTTCGGTGTTTGAAAAACAAAACATTTCTGCATGTGTTTCTGTGGAACCTAAATCAGGTCATGGCCGTGCTTCATTGCAAGACAACCCCCATGTTCGTAGCAATGTCGAAATCAGACGTCGTTCAGTTATAAAAGCGTTGATAGCAGTGTCTCGTTTTCAAACGCCTCATTGTATATCAACTCTGGCTGTGCCTCATTTCAAGACACCTTCCATGTGCGTAGCAGTGTCGGTATCAGAGGTTCCTCCACAACGAATTTCCCTCATCACCATCATCATGATCAAGTTCTCCCTAGCCATGTTGCCTCGAGCTATCCTTACAAAGGAACTTTCCAGCACCCACTGTACACAGTAATGCCGCGGCATGCTGGTAGCTCTCGGTCTGGGCGCCATGCTCCTGACGTTTCTGCACCCAACAGCGGTGCTCCTCAGCCTGCTGCAGTGAGCAGTGCCCCTCCTCAGCGTGCTGTGTTGAACGGTACTGTCCAAAGGATTGTTGACCTGGTGAAGCAGTTCGGTCGTATACCGATGCGAAAGAAAGGAACGTCCGAGGAAGTACGAGCTGAAAACAAGTTGGCCAAACGTTTCTCCGACCACCGCGACAGCTTTCCTAATGACGTTATGTTAGAGTTGCAAGCCCTCGAATGCGCCACGCCTTCAGAGTCAGCCGCTGTCAGCGCTGCCCTTC